CTCTTTTATGTAGGTTTTCTGTTTAAAGAACAAATCCTTACCAACGATCCTTCTATCAAGTTTTGGGTGCGTGTTCTTTTTCTGTCCAGTTCTTTTAATTCATCGTTTCCACTCCCTTATTGTTGATGAGTTCCTTGAAGCTATTTTTAGCCAACTTTGAAAGTATTTGATTAATTTTTTTTGTTTCAGTTCAGTCTTCGCACACTGTAAACCCAGGAAATGTCTCTCCATTTTATTTGCCTCAACCTTCACTTCAGAGTAATATTGAACTGGCCCCTGGGCATGGCAACAATACAACCTGCTGCCAACTGGGAGAGTTCAGTGGGGAAGTGAAAGGGATCCTTCCAGGCCGAAGGCCAGTAGGGTGGGTCTTGCTTTCTAGCCCAGATAGACTCCTTATCAGCATGCTCCCTGGTGAGAATGGTGTGAAACATGTGCCAGATTTCACAGCCCTGGTTCTGCCATTGATTTTTTTTTTTTCTTTTCAGCTGCTCCATAGAGGAATAGTTGCCACATTATAGAAGTTCTTCTTTGACAGTTAATAGAGAACAAATTAAAATTATTATATTCAGTGTAGCTCTCTTCCACCCTTTTCAAGAACCCTAAGAGTTCTTCAATCATTACTTTTTGCCAATCAGTTACATAATCTATAAGAGATAAGAACCAACAAATTCTATGATTTTAGAATTCATAATGGTTCCAGGGGTGACATGGGCCATTTGTGTTCACAAAAATCTGTGCTTGGACGGCATTTCCTCCCTTTTATTTTTTATTGTGAAGGATGAGTCTATTCTATTTCTCAGATGCACTTAGGTACTACTAATGGGATTAGAGAATTTGGCTTTGTATTCAGAATTGCATGAAACTTTAAAGACATGTCAGAGAAGCTGAAATCCTGTTCTTTTCTAAAATGAGCAAGACATCCATCTGGGACTACCACTATTATTTATTAGGATATTCATTTTCTTACCAAATATATTCACAGCCATTTTTTTTGTTTTAACATATGGTGATGGAGCTGGTCATTTATAATCTTGAATATTGAGCCGCAGTCAGGGATGGCTATGTCTTTATGTAAAAGCAGGGTGTGTGGCCACATACATGTTTCCAAGAGAGGGATACAATAAAGCATTTTCCTGAAAATGAGTTCTTCGCAAATGACTGCATTTTCTTTAAAATACTGAAAAATCCTTTGAGTAAGACTCATGAACGCTTCATTTGTAAATTAGTTTATCAGCTGTTTCCCTCTCCACAACCTTGTTCACTGCCCAAGCATTCATGCCCTATTCTCTTGGGGAAAGATGAGAACTGTTACAGAACAGGGAGTTTGTTGCTAAGAGTCTTGGAAGTTGTTATATCTGCTTCACAGTTTTGCCTAAGATGTACTATGTTCAAAGTGAAACATAGCTGAGATCCATGTACCCTTTATGCTAGGAAATGTTTCTTCATAGCAACTTGAAAAATCCGTTGGTTTCAGAGCTTAATTTTATGTTTTAATGTATTACCAGACAAAAGTAAAATTCAGGATCGAAGTAGCAAAAACAGTGGGAGAAATTAGATGTTTATTGTAATTACTCTCCAAAACTACTCAGCCTATGTTAAGAAAGCATGAGGAGTCCTAACTTGAAAGTTACATATTTTACTTTAAATAGCTCTAATTCAGTTTTAGGACAATATATTTATAAGACATCCTTAGGTTTCATCCTAGAAAAATCTGTGCTGTTGGGAAGCAATTATTTGAATTTAAATATCAGTTATTCTGTTCATTTGGTTGTCTGCCCCATGTTTCTTTTATGGAGACAATAGAGTTAAGACCAAATCATTAGCTGCAAGCACAGAATACAGATGTCGTGTGGAAATGTACTTAAGTTATTGTAACACCTCAGTTATAAATTCCCACTGGCTACACAAGGCCCAGTCCATTCTGAGCTCTCACTTTGTAAGTCTCATGTCACAGAGAGTGACTTTTGGAGTGTTCCAGTGCTAGGACCAACTCAGTCTCTATAATGCTTCCCAACTTGTTTGCACTATAGTCTGCTTTTGCTCTTTGCCTGCAGTTCTGGTTACATATTTGGGTCTTAATTCCAAATCTTTATAGGCAAAAACACAAAACTAATTAATCAAGTGTATGATCAATAGCAGAGTACTTTTTAGTGCCATTTTATTTATCACATACTCATTTGTATATTTTTAAATGGATGTTATATATTCTATGATGAACTCATATTTTTCTAAAATATTCAATTTTTAGGATTTGTGACTTGATAGTAGACCATAACATTTTAAAGCTATTTTTAAGTTTGAGTTTTCTTTTTACAGTATTGATATAGTTCATCTATTTAAAATATTTTGTTAAAATTGAGTCTTTCTTTCTCTGAACTTTTGGGACAATGAAATTATTCAACTTATATTATGAATATCTGAGATTTCCCTCAAATCTTTCCTCAACAGGGACAAAAGGCTAATATTCCTGTTTGCTCATAGGAAAGTATTTTCTTCCATAGGCTTTACAGATAGAATACGATATATAGAAAGACTCTAATTAGTTTTATCCATTTTACTTCTTATCTGATATCTCAAAAAATAACTTTCCAGGAATGTCTAAACTTCTATAAATAATAATAAAACAGGACTAGAATTTACTCATCACTAATTGTCCCCTCCCTCTCCCCAGGGAAATCCATGACTCATTAGGCAGGGAGTTGCATGTATGGGTTCAGGATTCCATGAACTTTCTGAAAGTACTTTGTAATTATACCTGCTCTACGAAACACCCTTTAGCCTATAGATACTCCAAACTCTAACATCTTTATCTCACCTTAAATATACCCAATTGTCTTTGAGAATGAAGTGACATTTGCAGGAGAAAGTGGCTCTAACTTCTTAGGGTCTAAAGAGCTCATTAGCAAGCAGCACTTCTGAAGTTCAAAGTCAACTCCCCATCATGATGGGTTACTGTTGATATTAAACTTCACGTTTAAAAGAAGTGCATATTATCTTTACTTTTGTTTTCCTTTTCTAAAATTAAATTCAAAGCTGATTTTTGAAAAAAATAACCTTTGTACTATTTACCTAATTTATTGATTAATCAAATCATTTTCTGTTTGTCTCATTTCTAGAAAATGTTCCTTTGATTGTAGATTGGTTATCTAAATTTATTCTACTTTGAATAAATAAATTACAAATGTTTTTATTAAAATAGTACAATAAAATATTTTATTTAGCGACACCCCCACCCCTGCAAGACTAAGAACTTAAATGTTTTCAGTTCATATAAAAATATGAGCAAACAATAGTATAATAAACCCTACTAATGCCGTGAAAAGGACACAAAAAACTGTTCAATCATACTCAGCACCGAGGATATCGCAGGCATGCTGCCTGCTAGAACTCACTGCTTTTCCTTTTGTCTTGCAGAAAGAATGTGCGAATTTCATCAAGGTGCTTAAAGCTTATAATCAGACTCACTTGTACGCCTGTGGAACGGGAGCTTTTCATCCGATTTGCACCTACATTGAAATTGGACATCATCCTGAGGTAAAGCTGGCTCTTAAAAATTAGTGTTTGTCCATGACCCCTTCCTATTCAGATGCTTCATTACTGATTTCTCCAGCTCATTTAACTTCTGGTTCATATTCAGTGAGACCTACTTCAAATGCAGATGCTGTTATTCATTTTAATCTGTGAATGCGAAACAATGAGACAATCACTCAAGGCTAACTGTGGAACAGGAGGAAGGAAGGAAGAAAGCACTTGCTTTCGCCCTGGATTACAGAGTCAAATCCATTTTGCATGTGTGGCAGATGTCAGCCGGCTGGGCGCACACTGTTTTCTCCTTCATTTTTTTATTGCCAGCTTCCCCCTCCATTTCCATCCTCAGTCAGAAGTGTCTGCCACCCTGGTTATTTTCTTCTGCCTAGGGATTATAAAAGAATGCCATACTTGTGCACAATGATCTGCTCTCATGTTTGACCTCAATTATTTTCATACATGTTCTAGCTCCGCTAAGTGATATTTTTATATTGTTGGCTATTATATTGGTGATATGGAAAAAATCTTTCTTTAATATGTTCATGATTCCTAAAAGATGTTTTCGTGAGAAAAACTGGTGAGGAGATTAAAATGAGGTAAATTTAAGTGAAAATTAAAATTAGGGGAATATTTAAAGGAAAAGTTACTAATATTGAAAGGAGTTTCATGAATTGGGCTTACCAATAGCCTTCAATTATAAGCCCCTTTATAACTTCTGGCACAAAATCCCAAGAATAAACACATTTATGCAGTGAGAAAATCATTGTGACAAGAGTTTTCTTCCAAATTGGAATTCAGAAATACTTAACAAATAAAGGATTTGTTCCCAGGATATTTCTGGAACCCTAAAGATAAAATATAATTTACATGTTAGCCACTTCTTTATAACTTAAACTCCAGGATCTCCAAAATTTTTTTAAGCTGTCCTAAAGTGATACAAATGTGTTCTTTCAACCCAAAGACCTAGAGATCAAATCAGTGTTGTAACGGTGTGTGTTTTTTTTTTTTTAATAAGACGCCTTAGAGACTATGTGGTTTCTAGACTACATACAATTATTATAACTTTCCTGTTGAGCCTGAGATTAAACACTTTCCGCAGCTAAAACCAGTTTAGGCAATTGCCCCTCCATTTCCCCACCACATCCTTCCTCCTCCTCCTCACAGGCATGTATACTGTACTTGCAACATACCTAAGAGGTTTTTTAAAAATATATTTTTATTGATCTCAGAGGAGAAGGGAGAAGGGAGAGATAGAAACATCAATGATGAGAGAGAATCATTGACCTGCTGCCTCTTGCATGCTCCCCACTGGGGATTGAGTCAGCAGCCATATGCCCTGACCGGGAATTGAACTGTGACCTCCTGGTTCATAGATCAATGCTCAACCACTGAGCCATACTGGCCAGGACATACCCAAGAGTTTTAAGTAAAAAGTTAACTTTAAGGAAAGGCAGTGTTACTTAAATTGCTTGTTTCATATTGGTGAAATCAAGAATAATTCCCTGCACATAGTACTGGAGACTTGGCACACTACCTATCATCAGGGGCCCTAGAAAACGGACTGGAGTGATTGCTCCACTTTTTTATACTCTGGAGATAGTATTGTTCTTTGTGCATCTGTATGCCAGGCATGGTGCTGCCAGAGCAATGGAGTCAGGAGAGCTGCGCTTCAATCACAGGTTAGATGGTGTCACGTCTGGCTTTGATCCTGTTCTACAACGTCCTAGCTGTGGAACATTGGAAAATTACTTAACCTCTCTGAGACTCTCTCTCTCACAATGTGTAAAACAAAACTAAACAAATCCTCTTTGACCCTCAGTATTCATATATTTTAAGTGAGAGTTTGACTATTTAACCTCCAACTGCCTTCCAACTCTCCTAGCAACCCATTGGCATTTTTGCTATAGAAACTCAAGGAGTTCTAATCCCATCATTGTTAAAAGCATGCCCTCTGACCTCAGACTGCAGGACTTTTGTCCAGTCTCAATTCACTACTAGATGCTTGAAATAGAGCATGCTACTTATTTTTTCTGTCTCTGTTTCTAACCTAGAAAGTGATAGAGTTTTTATGAGAGTTTAATAGGTAGTAGGTGCTGAGAATATCAGTTACCATTTTGAAAATATATATTTGCATCTCAGGGCCGAAAGCCATTGCTCTCTTTCATGTTCGTATGTAAGTGTCACTTTGCCTCTTAAATGTACTTCACTTCATCAGAGGACGCAAAACACGGCACTGAGCTCTCATTGTTGCCAGGTGATTCTGCACTTGTCTCATTTTTCTACATTTTTAAATGTGAAGCTTAGATGACACCGATGACCTTGAATTAAAATACTACATCTTGTTCCCCTATTTTTATTATTTTCCAAAAAGAATGTCCATTTTGTTTTATTTTTGAAGTTGCTATTTAGTAGAGTTCACAGCATATTCCTTCTCAACTCATCAATTAATTATTCATTGCTGACTTACGGGTAGAGGCGGGATGGAAAGGTATAGGTTCTGGAGACAGGCCATTTACTCAGGCAAATGAGGCCATTTCTTTGACTGAAAACCATAAATGAAGATTCCATTAAATCTCCTTTGATGTGGAATATTGGGGTGCGAGGATTTTTCTGAAATTCTGAGGCTCAGAACCTTGAAGAGAGGTCTTCTCTGAGACGTTCCAATGAGCTTCATTTCTGTGGCAATGTATATTGAGACATACTGTTCCGGACTGTTTAGGAAGTCAGTGAAAAGATGATTATGCAATTACCTAGGGGATTTGGAGCCGTCTAGACAGTCTATCTAGGAAATTCTGGAAAAGAAATTATCAAGATAGTTTGACTAGATGACGTGAAATTTAATTTTCAGTGCTTAAGCTTCCTTAAGAGAGAATCTGTTTTAAATTGATCTGTACTGATACTGAGAACACTGCCCGTGGATTGACACAGTTATGCTATTGGGGAGTTTGATAACAGAGACAGTGTGTGTTTCATACGGTTAGGAAAAGAACGAGGGAAATGGAAATATTGGAAGAGAAAGAAACAAAATAGCAGTCAGACCAAGAGCAGAATTTTCAGAGTAGAGTTCATAAATTTTCATGATGATTGCATTTAGTAACTTTATTTACAAGGATGGTTTTTCAGATAAATACATGACACATCTTTGTCCTAGAGTCTAGTTTAGAAGGAATATGTATACTTTGCTGTTACCTGCCCTACACTACAGAAAATAAGCGAATAGTTTCATTTATACTCTTTCAAGCACTTACATATTACAAATAATTTTATCATAAAAAATAATAACATTTTGTTTTTTGCTTTTAGCATGGGTTTTATGGACACTTTACTTTCATTTTTTCTTTGCAGTGTTCTTCCTTTAAAATAACTCGTTGTCTTACATGAGTTCCCAGGGTTATTGAAACCTGTTGTTAGAAAATGACATGGTGGGCTTACTAATTCAGATGGCCAATGGCCACCAAAATAAAAGCATCAATTTTGAAGTAAGTAAAGCTTCTATTTATCACTTAAGAGCTTCAGATCTTGTTGGAGGAAATTAACAATTCCTTTTAAAAATGGCAAACAGTTTGCAAAATAGCCTCCTCATTTACTCCCTAGTTAAATAGACCTTATTTTATTCTCCTGGCATTTTAAGAGCAATATTTATACTTTTGAATATTGTATTTCAAAACTTACTTTACTGTATAGTGAATGCCTTCTGACCACACACAGTATGTCATTGATTGCTGTATTAAAGAGATTTTCTGTTTCCTGTAGTACATTTGGGAATTGATAGACATATTAATTAACTCCAGTTCTATAAGATGTGTGTCAATCAATTCTTGGGTATCGGCCAATAGTAGTAGACACTGCAGATAACTGCCAGTGAGGACACATACTTCATACACATGTATGTGTTTATCATAAAAATGCATGCAGAGTTCATGGAAGGAATGATTCAGAGCTAGAGTACAGATGAGTTTTATGTTTAAGCTGTTAGCATCCATGCCACTCAAATGAAAAATGTAAGTCATCCTTAAGAGACAGAATATTCCCAAATGGCTTATGGTATATGTTATTTCCCCTTCAGACTTACATCTGTTAAGAAATTGTACGTGTATAGCTTTTCAGAGAAGTCTCTGGATGTTTTCTCAAATTCCAAATGAGCCTCTTTTATGTACTGAGCAGGAAATCTAAGGAAAGATGGACCCAGATGAGAGCTGGAAAATATTAACTTTATAAATACTCTCATAATGCCATGATCTCAATTTATGATAGAACCAAAGGAACATTAAGACATGCAGTGAAGCTTAATGGCTATCTATAAGGTTATTTCTACAATGACAGCCAGTATGTAGATATAAAAAACAATGTTTGCTAGGGTCTCCCCTTCCACCAAGAATAAGAGTTTGCTTTAATGCAAAACTTTAAATCAAATGCTTTTAGTAACAGTCCTCATGACCTAAGTGCCATTTAAGTCAATATTGTCTTTTTCTGACTGGCTTATTTCACCTAGCATTAAACTCTTCAGGACCTTCCTTGCTGTCTCAAAGGGTAAGGTCCTTATTTCTGACAATAAGAAAAGAAATCACTGTTGTTCTGGGATATTGGGAAGGGAAATGTGATGTCACAGCTTTGTTTGTATATAACTCTGGACTGTCTGCTTCGCATTCATGCATTTCTAATGAAAGCACTTACACTTCTCATGTGGGAAGGACCTATCCTTATAAATCTTGAACAGCCTCACTGCGAAAGCCAGCATATGCCATTATAGAAAGCCATGGAGATATATCATTATGTAAGTTGCTAAGATGTGTTTTGACTGCACCAACTATAAATAAAAGAGAAAGTACATGTAAGGAATAAAAAGAGAGATCAACGGGTGCAGTGGAGGGCAATCAGGGTTGTCAGTTGCAGGCTTAGAGAGGTAAGACTGGACCTCAGCATTACATGAGGAGTCCATTTGGATAGGATGAGATCTGAGGAACTAGAAATAGCAAAGATTGGTGACGAGAATCAGTGTGACATAA